ATTATTATTTACATAATTATAGTTGTAAATAATATGTAATATTTAGTTATATAGACTTCTATAGAATTGTTACAACAATAAATACTTTACATTAAGAGGCATGTCATTTTTAAGTCTCATTTGGACATCTTTTAATGTGCTGTGTTGTTTACGAGTTAAAGATCACATTGAAAGACAAATATTCTTGGAGGTGAAGTCAAGTGACATTTGCAAAATAAAGCTTTCAAAGATTTTGTCTTGTATGGCCATTGCCTAGTAATTCAAATGTTAGAATCGAAATGCGTCTTGGAAAAACTGGGATCACTTTTGAAAAATACTGGTAGTGTAACATGGAAATTACAGTTTATTGGAGTGAAATACCATTGTCATTGGTCAGAATAACAGGTTTCCATCATCACTGGCGAATGCCATTGGTCACCTAATCAATTTGGGGAATGATAATTTTATATTTGTTATATTTTTATATATACATATCTTGATATATTGTCCCTTTTGGACAAGCATAGGTTGCGAAAGGTACCACGCTTACTGCAGTTCCTCTAACAGAGAGAAAGTCAATATTGTTTGTGTTCAGTTAGTTGCCTCAAATATACTATTTCACGCAATTTCACTACGAAAAGCAAACTGAAACTCTGTTGTGTCTCCAGTAGACACTGACCAAAGATATATATTGCGATCTCGAATGAGTGAAGATACCTTGAACAAAAGAGAAGGCTAATATTTCAAACAAGTCTCCCTGATTGGTTGTTGCCTATCTGGACTTTGCCATCTGTGTGTGAAATACGTGATAAATGCAGGTTGCCCACAAGGAATTAACATGCGATGGGGTTAAGTCCAAGGTAGCTAAAAGCGAGTTCTATTTGTAGAAAAAGTCAAAAGGGGAGATAATTGTGTGGAAAATTCACTATCAGTAGCATTTAGTTTCAGGTGAATATTTTTCAGCAAGGTTAGACAATAGGGTTAGAATACGTGATAAAATGCAGGTTGTTTACAAGGAAATGTTCATGTTCATGTAATGCAATGATTGGGTATTTCCTTATTGCACTTTGAACGTTGTTCTCATAGTACATGATGGAATATAGACAAACATTATGTCTAGACATAATGTTTTTTATGTCGGGGCATGTTTATATGATAACCCGTTGGGAGGTTTGTACCAGGTACGAACAGTAACCAACCAGTAGTAAGGGCGGAGTTTGCTATGTTAAAACCAGGAGAAATTCCTTGATTCGCCCTTCTATCCCTCGCCATTCGAACGTCAAGTGCTCAAGAAATCTTTTCTCTCTCTTCAATAACACAGTCCAAAGTTTCAGGCAAGTTGAAAATTTCTGTATTCTCTATCTTGCTATTATTTTGTTGGTGTCCAATTTAATTGAATATTTCAAACCTCGCATTTAACATATCCCGAGCATGGCACCAACACGTGTACTTATCCTCGGTCACTCCTTTATCCATCGTTTGTTTAGTTTTCTTGTTGCTCATTTCGGTCGCGATTTCCTTGAGAATTTTAACTTGGGCGACGACCTTATTTTCAAATGGCACGGGATAGGGGGAAGGACAGTTGCAAAAACTAGGCAACTTGACCTCGGAGTCGTAAGATCATTTGCTCCCGATCTTGCCATTTTGCAGCTTGGCACGAATTCTAGCATTTTCTTCACGTTGGGACATCTTTTTCGGGCAGAGCTCACGTAAAGAGACGTTTTTCTTCGAAACATGCATCGATATAAAAGCTATTTGCCGTGTGCGTTGTGAGTAAACGTGTTAACTTAAAAATGATAAGTTGAATTCAAACCTTCCACATCCCGATAAATCTGAGGCGCATGAAGCTCTTATTACTGTTGATTTTTGTCACTGGTTGTGAAAAGAGCCTTGTCTACCATGGTTTTGTTAAATTATTCGAAAAACTTCCGACTGCCGGTCATTTGATGGCCGCCCATCGCACGCAAAAAGTGTCAACGTCCATGGCTCCGTATTCTGAGATTTGTAAATCAGTTCGGGATTGCTAAAGGCAAATCACAAGCACACATACGGAAAATTCGTTCCCCGATGGTTCTTCTACCGACTTGCCTTTCTAATTCATTACACAGATTTCCAGTTTATTGTGCGTCTCGAAATTTGAGATGGTTTAGTTCTCGTGATTCCTTCCGCGCGTTGCGACGACAACGACAGGAGCCAACCCTCCCCAATTTTGGGATCTTCGAAAATTCATTAAAGAAAGTAACTGAAAGAGATGCAAAATTAACTTTTTCGACTTGGTTATCAGTTAGAGCTCTTTTCGGCCCCGTAAGTTTCCAAACTATTTTGAATGGTGCATTTTCTTTAAAGCAACAGCTTTTGACATACCAAGTAACAGCATTAATGCGCAAATGACCCGAAACAAACCCAGTTATCATTGAAAATACGATGTTGTCACCATAATACTCCGGCATCGATGCAGTAATCAGCAGTGTTGTCATTAATTCTGGGAATTTAAGGAACCGACTAGTTCTGTTGTCTGAAACAATTCACTTGGTATTCTAGTTGTCTCGCCATGGCGCAAGACGTTTCTACCGAAAATGTGCATTTACAGCAGGAAGGAGGTGCTGAAGACGTTTACAGTCCTCTGCGAGATATTTTGGAGAGAGAAGACGAGAACAATCTGGCAAACCAATTATTCCGTGCCCTCGGGGAAAACGATGCTTCCGGATGCTGGAAACTTCTGGAAGAAAACCATCATGCGATCAGGTTGGAATACGAAAACTTCCAAAATAACTGCAAGGAAGCTAGTAAGAAAGAGCAGCAGAGGGAAGGGAGATTTCATTGTTCTTCGAAGTGTTCGGAAGAGCCTAAAGAGGAGCAGCAAAGCTCCGAACCGCAAGGATCACAAAAAGAGTGCATTAACGGTGAAACGAAACTTAACTTAACAAAATCTAACTGTCCGTGTACATTTTGCGAGAAAGATAGGATTGGTTGGAAAAGAAAAGAAAAAAAAGGAGGATGTCATAGCAAGTTCGCTGCGTGATGCATATCTCCTGGATGAAACGTCATCTCTCAAGCACTACAATAGCCGAGATGTTTACCGAGAATCGGCGGAAGCTTACGAAACGTTTGCTGCTGGCATATTGGAGAAAGCCTCCCAGAAAGAACTTCACGAGATCATGGATATAAAAGGAGAGGGTTGTCTACTGCAAAATGACTCTCATCAACAAAGGAATTTTATTGAAAGTCTGAGCCTTCTCAAGAGTGCAGTCAATAAGAGAAGAAAGAAGGTATGTGCGCTTTAGTGATATTTTGTGGTTAAGAAAGCGCTTTACTGGTACTAAATACTAATGATAAAGACTGACGGAATAAATATGCAGTGGTTTTTCTATCCACACATCTAATATTCTTTCTGGCGTCGGTTGAAACACTTGTTTTTCACCACCTGGAATTTTTTTACATTTGTATTGAGAAACCCTCGAAAGTTCCTGCGTAACATGACTAGCTTTGCTCAAGAAAAGAAATCTCACCGGTGAAGCGGAAAATGATCTATAAGCTTGTCAATGTAAGGCGAGAGGACTCGATTAGCAAGTAAAATAGAGGTGTCTGGTTTCGAACGTAAAATTAATTCAAGTTGATAGTTTAAACGTAAACAAGCGCAAGGATCCGCGCGGCTTGCGCCTTGGCGAGTGCTACGCGAATGTAGGACTCTTCCGAACAACTTTCTCTTTGGAAATAACTACGCAGTCATAGCATGAATGGCAACTTTCACAACTGTAGAATGATTCAGCGACAAGAGCGGCTTAGCGAAGCCAAAACGTGTCATGACGTTTGAGGATAACCTGTTTACACTGTGTGACGTGACTATCAGGTGACAGTTGTTGTTCCTGGCGTGTTCTATCCGTGACCGACAGATTTATTGGTTTGTGACACAAAGAGCGATTATCTGTTCTGCCACGACAATATCATTGTTAAATTCTGCCAGCTAACCGATGTTTTACTCTGATCAGACCTTTGACTCTGAGTTAGCATGAAGGCCGGTGAATGTTGTGCATTAATTCTTACCAAAAGAATACCCTTCCATTCAATCTTGTTTCTAGAGCCTCGATTCTACTGCAAAGAACCGCAATAAAATGATTCTTTTGATAAGAATTTTGGTTCTTAACGAGAGAAAATGCTATTAGTGGAATTAAGAGTGCTCGGCAAGGACTTTGTTTTCGAGAGAGATTTCGAATGCATCATGTTCTGCATGGAGATACAAGAGTATCATTTAACGCTTGAAACAATTGGGTACTGAGATTTTTCGATAATACATTTCTGGCGTCTATAACATAACTAAGGAGCTCTTTAAGTAAAATTATCATTTTTAATAAGTCCCAAACATCAGGTAAGCGAGGGAACTTAGTCCCGCGAAATTTCTGCGCGAAGGTACGAGTGTATTCTGCGGTATCTGCGAAATAGGGTTATCGTTCTTTCTTTTAGGTAAGGACTTAACTGTGTATTGTTTCGCGAGAAAGAAATTCTACTCGCTGGCCAGACCAATTTGACGCTACTGTAATTTAAGGTTGTATGCCTGATGATCTCTGTCTTGA